GAAAGCTTAAGTAGTGTGGCTCGGGCATTCCATCAAACACCTCGTGTGCATAGGAGGTGAGCTATAGCACCACAAAGCCCTCTCCCCTCGTCGGGCAGAAAAAACAGAGGAGTGTGCTCTTCTCTTACACGGGGGGGGTATATATAGGCTAAACGGCAACCTTTGGTCCCGGTTCAAGCCACCAACCGGGACCAATGGTGGTGGGCCAGGAGCGAGGCTCACTGGTCCCGGTTTATCCCACCAACCGGGACCAAAGGGGCCAGACGAACCGGGACCAATGCCCCCACAAGGCCCGACGGGCCCCCTGACCTCACGAATCGGGACCAATGGCCCCATCGGTCCCCGTTCGTCACTGGACCGGGACTAATGGGCTTATCTGGCCTGAACGAAAGCCCTGTTTTCTACTAGTGCTTGAGTCATCTATTTAAAGTTAGTACAAAGTTGAGTCATCTATTTTGTAATGAAGGGAGTAGTCCTTAGGGGCACGTGCACAAAGACTTTACAAGGTCAAGCCGGCTCTGGTAGAGGAGCGGCGACAGAGGCGCGGCGACGACTCGTTCTAGCGGTAGTAGCGGTCATTCCGTGGACTCGGAATCTCGATTTAATTTTTATTATGTTTGAGATTCTTTCTATTTCCGGTGAACTTTTGTAATAGAGTTAATCTTTTCATAAAGAAAAAAAGTATGGTTTATTGATGTGAAATCCTTATATGCTTAGAAAAAATAGTTAGCAGGAGGGTCAACCCGGCCCGGCCGCGCCGCCCATAAAGCTGCCGCACTCCAGGAACTCCGGTGAGGTGAGGCGTGTCGCCATCGGAAAAAGGTTGGGTTGGAGACCAGAGTAGCGTCGTATCAACTGCTCCATTTCTCGGATAAGATAATATATAGGAGTATATAAAATGAGAACCGAGCTGCTCCATTGCTCTTTCTCTTTGGCAGTACTAGAAAAAGAAGGCCGGTTTTGGACAGAAATGCCTTTTAGAGCTCGAGCTCCTGCGATCCCACTTTTTTTTGAAAAAAATGTATTTCTAAATTTCAAGAAAAAATGATTTCGTTACACTAGTTCATATGGGTTTTTTTTTCGTGAGAATCTTAATTAGTTCATATGGTTGAGTGTACTGGTTTCATCAGTATGAACCCCTTGCGGAGAAATAGAGTTTCAAGATTAAACAATTCAATTTCCGCATAAGTATTTTTTTTAAAATCCGCATAATTATTTTTTCGCGAATACGCAAAGCTTGCGTATCATTGCATTGATAAAAGAAGTAAGAGTGAATACAGGCAGTAGTACAACACATGGCACGAACGCAGAAGGCGTAAACATGGTGCACGGAGCAGAGACATGGGATGCTCAACCCAGACACAGACACAACACAGCTAAACTCGCCACCCTGTAAGCAGCCCAAACCAACCGAACATGACAACCAACATCTCTAAATCCACTGCCGAGGACACCGCAAACAAACAAGACGGCGCCTTCATGAAGGAGAACGACGCCGAGACGCCGTCGCCGCCCGATCTGGATAACCGGACCTAGGGTTTTCCCTGCTGCTCGAAGAGGGGCACAGATGACGGCCATGGCAGCGCCTCCAAGAAGGTGACGGTACCCGTAGGTGTCGCTGCTGCCAGCATCGAAAGATCGAGCAAGGATTTCGCCTTGGCTAGATTCTGAGCAATCCCAAGCCGTCGGAGCAAGATTCCGAGAAGAGGAAGCCAAGTCCTCAGTTGAAACTGCCACAGTAGGAAGGGGAGCTGCGTCCGCTGCCGAAGGAGGCACCAGACATCGCCGGACATGAGAGCTACAGATCGGGCGGAGGGGGGGGGCATGGAGGTGGGCAAGGTTGGGCGACCGGGTGGATGACATAGGGGAAGCGAAGGTGGTCGGGGGACCCGGACAAGCCAAAATTTGGAGAGAACGCAAATCTGGGCCGCCGGGACCGGAGCCGCAGGGGCGCAAACGTGCCAAAGGAGCCGGAAGGAGACGCAGCTCCAAGAACACGCCTAAGCCGGAGCCGCACCGGGATGGACACCGGCCAACAAGGACATCTGCAGGGTGGGTTGCGAAGCCACCAAGATGCTGACAAGCCGGAGGAGCTGGAAGGGACGCAGCTCACGCGGGGGGCCAGATCTGGAATCGCATTGGACAACCATGGACAGGGGAGGGAAGCGCATGTCCATGAATTCCAGGGACAAAGCCGCACCTGCAGGCTAGGAATCGCGCAAGGGGATGGCACGCCGGGCGCACTCCCGGCCGGGCGAGCTGCAGAGGCAGCTGCCGCCGGGTAACCAAGGACACCGTAGATCCGTAGCTCGAGGGGAAGGGAGCGGGTGGGGCAGATGCCACAGCACGAACGGAGGGAGCTGCACGTCGGAGGAGGCCAGGGGCCCAGCACGGCCGTGCTGACCAGCCCTTCGTCGCCGACGGCGCAGGGATGGGCGGAGGTGGACGGCGTTTTGCACCATATGATCGGGGTACCCCTATCTCATCTTCTTCCTCTTGGGAGACCGGTGCATACCTTCCTTTTCCTCATCCTTCTCGCCATCTCCCTCCTCGTGGATTTTTCGGTCTCACCATCGCCAAGTCAAGGCATTACCACATTGTCACTAGGTTGTCATTACCTCGGTAACAGTTTCGGTTAGCTCCCCTCCCCCTCCTCATTCTTCGTCCTCCTTCCTTCACTCATGCACTCCCTCCACTAGTTCGGGCAAGCGTTCACTATCAAGAATGAAGACTGAACGCTCGCGTGGTAAAATTTTCCTCTCACCTTCAGGAGTAAATATTCTTTCTTTAATTTTAGTATAAAGTTGGGTTATCTATTTTGGAACGGAGGGAGTACATAGAAATGAGTGTATGTGCGCATGTATGAGCATGTGTGTCTGCCTCTGCACTGTGTTGAAAAAAGGGATAATATAATGCTGCATTTCATCTGAGTGCTGGTACTAATTAACAGCCAGCATCCCCCCTAAATATAGGAGATCATTTCCCTCCATTGGTGATTAACCTCTCGTAGCTCTGGCCGGAACCTCCTCCGCTCGCTCCATCCTTCCCGGCGCGCCGTTTCGAGCCCTCCGTCGAGATGGCGGCATCCTACCGCCGCCGCCACATGCCACGGAGCTAGCCCTCCAGAAAGAGAGGCAGCAATGGCGGTCCCATCGTCGTCCTTGTTGTCGTCGCTGCTGCTCCTCGCGCTCCTGCTGCATCATTGCTCCGCGGCCCAGGATCACGGCAGCGCCGCCGTCATCGTCAACATCTCGGCCCTCGAGGACGTCGTCCGCGACCGCGCGTTCGAGCTGCTCCACCGCACCGACAAGCTCGTGGGCGTGCCCCTCACGGCCTGCCCGTCGCCGTGCGGCCTCGTCGAGGTCCAGGCCTCGGCGCTGCGCGTGCGGAGCAGCTCCCTCTGGGCCGACGGCGTCAACGCCACCGCCGCCGACACCGCGGGGTTCACCGTGCCGCCGCGCGTCGTGCCGTCCCCGTTCGCCCGCCGCGTCGACGTCGTCTTCGAGCGGTTCGTCGGCGGCAACTCCTCGTCCGGCGCGCTCTTCGCCGCGCCGCCCGGGTACGCGCTGGCTGCCCCCATGGCCGCGCTGCTCGCGTACGACGTGTCGACCGGAAACAACGGCAGCAGGGCTGTCGGACTCCGGGCGCTCGGCGCGCCGGTCCGCCTGGAGTTCGGGTACCTCGCGCCTGCGGCGGCGAACGGGACGCCGCCGTTTAACGCCACGGCGGCAAGGTGCGTAACCTTCGCGGTGGACAGCGGGAAGGCCAAGGCCGTGGCCACGCACGCCATGGCGTCGGACACCGCGTGCACGGTGACCGGCACGGGCCACTACGGCGTGGCGGTGCGGCTGCAACCGCCACCGCCTTCGCTGACGCCGCCGACGCCGCAGCCGCCTGCAGCGGTGCGGGAGCGGTGGTGGGCGTGGATGGCGGTGGCCGGCGTCGGCGGGGTGGTGGTGGTGGGCTTCCTGGCGGCCACCGTGGTCGCGGCGGTGCGGTGGAGCAGGAGGCGCAGGAGGGAGGAGATGGACCTGCGGGCGCTGGCCGGGGAGGAGCTGGGGAGGATGGCGGTGCGGGGGAGCAGGATGCCGGCGGCGAAGATGGTGAGGACGCGGCCGGAGCTGGAGGACGGGAGCCCCATGGCGTGGCGGCGCTAGCTCCTCCGCCGGTCGCACTGTCGCCGCCTTGATTAACTAGGTGTACCTTTTTTCTCAGCATCAGATATTCAGACTTGTATTGTTGTTGTACAGTATTACACACAGTACTTTGTAGTACTCTATATATATATATATGATATTTTGTGTACACTCGGGTTAAAAATGTACATTGAAATAGGTAGGTTATTATCTTGAGAGCAACATCTCACTGCATGTTCTTGAGAACTAGCAGCAGATTGCAATAGACTGTCCCACTTCATTTACTGAATCTAATAAGTTGCTGTTCTGATGCTCCATCCAGGATAGAACAAAACTCAAAACTGTGACTGAAATATAGTGCTGATATGCACATTATTTGGTGTCACCAAATTCACAAGAAGGAACATCTGGCCATGAAAAAAAATACATACACATTACATGCATGGCTATGAAAAATACATCATCATTTCTTCTCCTAAGAACTTCGAACGATTTAACGATGGTGATAGCAGGGTTACAGATTTCCTCCCATTTTATACTTCTATATTTGTTTGCTGGAGCAAGAAACTGGGATTTACTCTGTTCCAACTTCAGTGCTTGTGAAGAGCGGCAACGGTCAACAAACATAAGCTCAATTGTACATCACTCAAAATTTAGGTAACAATACATAGTTAACAAAGTTACAGAGAATTACTGCACGACGGCACTGCGTCTTCTTCAGATTCCAAATAGAGATGAACTCCTCCGGAGTACGAGAACAGAGTGCCGTATATCTGTTCTCCAAGCATGTCCACTCTCTGAAACTGATTATTGTACATCTCCTGAGAAACTGCTGCAGTGAACACGTATCATCAACAATCTCTACTAATTGTTTCCGTTCGATGTGTATGACCAATACTCGTTGACCAGTTCGCGGAAGAGAGATCCTTCAGTTTCCATGAGCTTCGCAGGTTTATCATACTCCACTGCTTTCCCTGGAAGTGTTCATATATAGCCACTGAAAAAAATAGCGCGCTATAACGCCGCTAATAGCACGTATAGCATATAGAGAATTGTCTCGCTAAATAAATCAATGTATAATGCCTCGCTAATAGCACGCTATAGCGCGTTATAGCACGCTAATAGCATATTTTCAGGGGCCACGTTATTTTCTGTAGCGCGCTATTTTTTTCATTGTATATAGCTCATCAGCATGGAATATGGAAATCTATGATGCGGTCCAAATAAGTGGACGATAAGACAAACATACCATCACTCATTGCAAGTACCATATCGCAGTCCATAACTGTTGGGATACGGTGCGCGACTGTAATAACGGTGCAATGTCTGAATTCTGTCCGGATTGTTTTCTGAAGGATCGCATCTGTCGCGTTGTCTATAGAGGCCGTGGCTTCATCAAGAACTAAGATACGGCACCTTCTCAAAAGTGTGCGACCCAAACAAAAGAGCTGCCTTTGGCCCATGCTCCAGTTTGACCCGTTTTCCGCAACTGTATGGCAAGATCTTGATTAGTACCATACACTATGCTAGCAACTGGATGTAACCCATTCACCTAGGAGGCTAGGACAACTAACAGTTGACAGATTTAGTGGCGCATGTATTTTGAATTTTGAAATGGTGGAGCAGAATAAAATAAACCCCAGAGACCAAATTATATATAGATAGAGTGAGGTGTCCTACCAAGTGAATCCAATCCCTGTTCCTTCTCCTGGACGGCTTCAAGAAGTTGACATTTGTCAAGAACCTGCGACACAATAGCATATAACTAATTTAGTGATTCCTTTTAAGACGCATGTATGCCATAAACAGAGAATGGCGACTTGTCATTACGACCCCATAAATCTGTTTATTAATCCTGATTAGATAAGGTGCTTATTTTTCTGAAATTGTAGATATATTACACGTCTTACCTCCCATATTTGTTGATCCGAGAACTTCCCAAGAGGATCCAGATTATATCTTACTGTACCCTGAAAAAGTGTTGGATCTTGGGGAATGATGCCCAAACACGAACGCAGGTCATGTAAGCCATCATAGTGATGTCCACAGAGTCAATACTTATTTTCCCTCCAGCAGGTTCAACAAGGCAGAACAATGCACCAATTAAAGTTGTCTTGCCACTTCCTGTTCGACCAACTATACCAATCTTGTCTCCACCTTCAAACTTGCAAGTGATACCATGTAGTACAAGGGGTGCGTCTTCCCTGTACCTAATCTGTCAAATGAAAATAAATCACATGAAATTGTTAGAATTTCTAAAGGGTTTCACCTGGTCAAGTGCACATGTACATGTTTAAATTTGATTACCTTCAAATCTCTAAGCTCCACACTGCCGACTTGGGGCCAATCTGGTGCCGGACGGTTTTCTTCAATAACTTCTGGTTCACTTTGTATGTCCATGTAGTGGTTCACCCTTTCCACAGATATTATTTGATTCGCAAGGCTGCATTGCCTTTGAATAGAGTTAACAAGAGTATTATTTAGGGAAAGACCATAAGAGAATGCCATTCCAACAAAACCTGCACAAGTATGAACGGAAGTAATTAGTTTTCTGATGGGCAATGTTAATTTCTTCATAAACTGGATGATATTACATAACTGTATTTCCAATGAGTTTGGCACATAGACATTGGGCATATAAAGTGTTGCTAAAGGGAAAGTTGGATATATATACCACTAGGGTTTCGAGCCATTCACGGTTATCTAGTAGGCTTTCTTATCACAAGCTTAACCTTCATAACTCAATACCAGGAACCTATCAAAACAGAGGGGAAAAAATTCTTTGCAGTGCATATAAAATTCATTGCACATCTGATGCATGCATATAAAATTCAGTGCACATATTTGCAGTCATAGAGCTTGTAAGCAACCATGACTTTCTCAAAAATGTGTAACTTGTGATTGTAGTACTTCAGATAAGATACTTACCGGGGCTAAAAGTTCCTTGAGGAAGAAGAGCCATGACAAAAGCAGAAGAAAGAACCGCAGCACTCATTGTTTCCAGGCGCTGAATCAACCATTCAGTAGCTGCAGAATTATAAAAGTATGGACTAGCATTCTTGTCGACTAGCTCCAAATTTTGAGCAAAGAAACGATCTTGTTCCTCAAAGGCACGTATTGTTATAACCCCTGAAATCGATTCACCTAAGTGATTTGCTAGGGCAGACTTGGTAGTGCCATTAATCCGCATCAATTCCTTAGCTGAGGCTAAATAGTACCTCTAGAAGACCAAATATAACAGATCTCAGTCAATCAGAATTGTGAGAAAACATCAGATAAATTAACTCCATGGGTGAAATTCAGCAGAGTAGATCATTCGGGAAATGAAATAACAATAGAAAGGGGGTTTAGCCATGCAGAAATAAAGTTAGATCAATCACCTGCAACCGAATTGCCAAAAATATCATCGGCAATGATACAAACAGAACTTGCCATGTAACAACAGCCAATACTACCAGATTGCTATATGCAGTTAAGCTGGCACTAAAGGTAAACATGAAGGCAAATGGAACATCAAGATCAATGATACTCAAATCTGAAGAGACCTGCAGGGGATAATCCATCATTAGAAATGCATGTCAAACAGAACTGTAATTACCATAACTGTCATTTATTTCAGGCTTTTCTTACCCGGCTAAGAATCCTGCCTAGAGGAGTAGAATCAAAAAAGGTCATAGGTGCACGGAACAATGAATTGAGCAACTGGGAAAACAAGGATCTTGAAGTCTGGACTCCGAGAACAACGAGGAACAAAGATCGTGATAGCACAAAGAAAATGGTGCAGATTCCGATAACAATGTACACAGAAATTAACTTCAGTGTACTAACACGAGCATTTTGGACATTAGCAGCCATCCATGAATTCTGTGAAATTTGACCAGCTAAGAAAATTATGTGACAAATAACAGAAAGAGAGGCATACAAGAAGCCTTTGTTCTGGCGCAGGTAAAGCATATAAGGCTTAAGACCTGTATCCCCTGATTCTCTTTCCTCTCTCTTGATCAATTGATCTACTGGTGATGGCTTCACAGCCTCTGTATATCTGTTTCCACGAATATCACCTGTCTCTTTTCTTGGTATTTCCATTACTCTTTGAGAGGCCATACTACTAAGATTTGAATCACTAACGGTATCATTATGCGCATTTACAAGGTCCATAAATTGTTGACAGTCTGCCAATAGATCTTGATAAGGTGCAGACCGAATAACCTCCCCATCTAACATTAACTGCAGAAAATTTCCACTAGTCTTAGATGACATCAATAAATAAATAAAGATCACTATAAACAAACATAAATCATAAGAGGAGGGTGGGTGTGGGGGGTGGGGGGAGACAGACCAGAATGGAGTCAAATACAGGTAGAAAATCCACTTGGTGGGTCACCAAAAGAACAGTCTTGTCTGATAAAATGCCCATGACATAATCCTGTCAAACAAGCAAGAGCTTTATTAAACAGTTCATAATAAAATAGGAATACAATCTACTCCTGCTGATATGATGCTTACATTAAAGAGACTTGTTGCTGTATGGGCATCGACAGCACTGAAAGGGTCATCAAGAAGATAGATGTCTGCATTCTGGTATAGTGCACGAGCAAGCTGAATACGCTGCTTCTGACCACCACTAAGATTTACTCCTCTCTCTCCAATTTGAGTAAGGTCACCGAACGGCAACATTTCAAGGTCCTTGACCAATGAGCACCTTGCAAGTGTTTCTTCGTACATTTGCTTGTCCATCAAAGATCCAAAGAGGATATTATCTTGTACAGTTCCTGTTTGGATCCATGCAGTCTGAGAAACATATGCTATTTTCCCGCAGACTTGAATCTGAAATATGTACACGAAGGTTAATGATTTGATATAGTTCTTACAGAAAAAGGAAACAGCAACTAATAATAACAACTTGGTAAAACCTAACATGATGCACTTGTCGACAGGCTGTATTTCTTAGAGTAAATTCCACTTTGAACTACATATTTTTCATACTGACACTTTGGACAAGAATTTCTTTTTTGTGACACACTGAATCAGATTTAAGGGCCCCTATGGATCGCATGAATTAGAAAACATAGGGATAGGAAAAAGACAGGATCGAGATGTCACATACTGTAGATTCCTTCAGGATCTCAAAACACAAGAATTTTGCACATGTGCTCAAAAAATAAAAACATGAATGGACTTCTCAAAGGAAAAATAAATGAGGCTTGACTTCATGTTGAGATTTCAATGGAATTTGGGGAATATGCATTTTACAACCCCAATTCTATGATCCAAAGGGCCCTTATGGGAAAACTTCCTAATGATTGAAATCCTCTCAAATTCCTATGAAAATCCTACAATCCAAAGAGGCTCTAAGCACAAATATTGCAGTTTGAGCCAGATTTAAAGATCATTCCGCATGTTGACATGTTTGTCATGCCTGTCATGCTGACTAGACGGTAAAAGCTGGCATCTATTTGTTGACATGGACGTCAATGATGCAGCTTTTTGACAAGATTGTCTGTGTGGCCTTATTACAATTACCACTTCTGAATTTTGCACCTTAGTCCCTCAAAATTCAGGACACCTCTACATTCTCCCGAGAGAAAGAGTGTCTGGTGACCTAGTGCACATTTTCCTAACATGTGGGCAGACCTTTTAGGCTTTTAGGATGGGATGAGACTTGGATTTTTGGTGCTTGAATCTGGTTCAATGTGTCAAAAAAAATTGTTCAAACTATCAGTGTGACAAATATGTGGTTCCACGTGAAATTTACTCTTCTATTAAGTATGTCAGCAGGCTGTACTTTGATAAGATAATTAGTAACTAGCCAGCTACGATTTCTCAAGCCCAAAGAGCAATTTTATGTTTCCATTGTACAATTAATATCACCTTTGTACTTGTAATAGAATGGAAAGTTTATTATGGTACATAACATACAATCTAATAAAAAGGGAGATAATCAAAGTAAAAGCTGTGACATGACATACGGTATTTTTAGTGCATGAAAAAAAACATGGGTTACATAAAGTACATGTATTCGAGATAAAAAAATTTACTCCCTCCGTTCCTAAATATAAGTCTTTTTAGAGATTCCAATATAGACTACATACAGAGCAAAATGAGAGAATCTACACTCTAAATTACGTCTATATATTCATCCGTATGTAGTCCATATTGAAATCTCTAAAAAGACTTATATTTAGGAACGGAGGAAGTATATCATAACCTAAATAATGGGTAGCTGTTTGATTTTCTTGTTTCATACAAAGCGAAGGCAATAGAAAACCATACCGTGCCTTCAGTTTTGGATACCTCTCCGAGTACAGCAGCCAAAAGGGTTGACTTTCCTGATCCCACCTCTCCACAAATTGCTACCTTTTCTCCAGTTTTGATTGTCAAATTTATGTTCTTTAGAATTGGCCTTGATGGATTCCCATCCCACGAGAAACCACATGAGTTCATCGCTATTGGATAATCGATGCTCACACAGTATTTCTTCCCAATTTGCCGGTTCAGCTCTGGTGCATCAAGAAACTTCGATATCCGAGTGAAAGCAACCTTAGCTTGTACCACAACTGCAATAACGTCTGGTATTGACCTAACTGGATCTTGCACGAGACGCAGAGTTGCCACAGTTGTGAAGACATTGCTAGCGTCAAGAGGGGTTTTCAAAAGATAGCATGTTAGAAAGGTTGCCGCCGAAACCAAAACAGGTGATGACCAAAACAGGACACTGTTGTAAGCCCTCCTAAGCTGGAATGCTGACAACCACTTGTACTCAACCTCCCTTAACCCCTCTATGACCTTCTTGAAGTGAGCTTCCCATGCATAAAGTTTCAATACCTTCATATGAACTAAGGATTCAGTCATGGCCTTCAATCTAACATCTTGTGCTTCCATAAGTTTACTCTGAAATTTGTGCTGGAGTTTGGCCAAAGGAGCATTGCAGAGTACGGTGATAATGATGACAACCAGCGATGAAACCATTGCAGCACCAACTGCGTTATACAGAATTGCCAGAGCAATGCAAAGCTGAACAGTTGTTGTCCATGTTTGATGGAACCAGTATGGGAATTCCCCAATCCGGTAGGCATCGACAGTCACATAGTTCATAATTTCTCCAGAAGAGTGCTCCATTTTTGCTGCATTTGATAGATTCTGTTGCTTCTTATAAATAGCTGCTGACAGAAATGATCTTACCTGGAGTCCTAATCTCCGTGTGCGGAAATACCACTGTCTCTGCGACAACGATTCACAGCATTTGCAGACAAACAATGTGGCAGTCAGCACAAAGCCTTCATACTTAAAGGTTTCTTTCCCAATTGATGCATTGATGAATGCTTTCAGAAGCAACGGGCCTGCAGATAAGGTAAGAATCTTGAGCAAAGCAAAGAAACCTGAGACCATGATTGCACGCTTGTGACAAGAAACAATAGTCCAGAAGAATGATGGTGCAGCATGTGACTGCAACTGCTTCTTGCTATCCAGCTTCTCCATGAACATCAAGTACTGGCTTTGTGCTCGATCTTTAGGGCTTAAAAGTGGAATGCCTTTGTCCTCAAGGGGCTTCTCATAACCCATCTTCAGTAAAGGATTCAACCACCAAAATGACATTTCGCTGAGGAAACCAGCTTTAGCAAAGGGAGTTACCTCATTCTCTGAATTAGCTACCTCACCTTCTGTCTCCATGCCCAGGGGCTTATATAAACCATTTCCGGCTCCTCCATAAGCCTCTTCCTCGTGGCTGTGCAGAAAGCCATAAAGAAGGAAGATTATTGCACCTGGTAGGGACAGAACATCTAAGCAAGCCTTGATGGTGATCGCTTTCTCTGCAACGATGTGATGAGCCGAGGAACAAGAGATGAATGCCGCATAGATGGCCAGCACGACAGACCAAAATCGAACGAGTGCAGCTCCAAGAAATCGAGGCCTGATGCTGAAAGCGAAGCTGGCAAGGATCAAACAGAATCCTTGAGATAATGTCACGAGCCACCAGTGCGGCAGGTAAACAGGAGAATCCAGACTGAAGAAGTTCCCCAGCATCCACAGCCCTAGGCCAAGATAAACCAAACCTAGGCAGCCACTGAAAACCACTGCAGCCAACTGCAGCGGTGAGCTGGGTGTGGAAAGCTGCCGCGCAGACGCTCTGCTCCTAGGAATTTTGACAAGCAGGTGGAGCGCGAGCGCGAGTATGAGCAGCGCGCCGGCGCCAAACCCCACCAGATGATTCGTGCAGGTGGAGGAGTCGAATATTTCGTTCCATGCACATGGGAGTGCATCTTGGTTGGAGCATACCGGGCTCCCACACAGGTTCATCATCCAAGAACCTGAAGCAACGGCCAAGTATTAATGGAGTGAGATTCTTAGCTTGCTTAGTCCTCATCAATCAACAAAGAACAAAAAATGTACTGTATGCACGAGTGACCGTCAGCTAACTAAACTACATCAGGAATTAAAGCACACACACAGCGGCAGCATAGAAAAGACTGACAAGTAGCCACAAATCCTGCCAGTACTGAAGAAATCAGGACAATGCGCGGAAGGGAAAAGCACAAACCTAAATTTAATCCCTTCTCTCTTCCTCCTCCTCCTCCTCGCCGTCGCCGGCGGCCCTGGGCTTATCAGTGCCTCGACGGGCCGTAGCTATTGGCCTTTTCATCAGCGGGGGGCGGGGGACGGAGCGCGTGCGCGCGCTCGTCACTGCTGGCGTCGGGCGTGGCGTGTCCGACGACGCCTCCCCTCCGCCCCCAATGAGGTTTGCTGCCGTCAACGTATTTAATCTGCATTTCGCAGTCGAAGTAGATCCACGAAATTGCTCAAGGCGCCGGCGAAGTTTCCTCAAGAGTCAGTCGTCCACTGCAGGTCAATTTGTAAAGAAATGCGAGGCAATGTGGCGACACGCGCCCCTCCTGTGGTTGGCCTGCGGCGGTGAGGGGGGCGGTGGTGGGCGTGGACCCTGGCGGATGGCGCCGGCGGGGTGGCGGCGGTTAGTTTCTTGGCGGTTTTCGTGCCCGGCGCCGTGCGCGGTGGAGGGAGGAGATGGAGCTGCGGTCAATACAACAGAGGGTGTTAGGGCATGTACGTACAACAATGTCCAGTCAGCTGTCTGGAAGGAAGGACAACTAGGGTTTTAAATGACGTGGAAGAGAGAGAATGAAGAGAGAGAAACAGTCTGTCGGTAGAATTACCAACGATCTGTAGCCCTGAAAATCAGGTTGCTACAGGCGGCTTTTTACCGTTGTATGGAGTGCCGTCTGCAAAGCTTCCGGGAACTGCCTCCTTGAGCGGTGGATTAGTCTTCCACTCCTCCATGTTTTAGAATGCTACAGACAGTAGAACAGTCAGTCTATTGTACGTGGTGTTTTTACCTCTATCTATAGTTGAGGTGGAGTGTCGCTACAGACAACCATTGTCTAAACTAATGTACATGCCCTTAGGAGATGAACAAGAAGAGAGAGAAAAAAGGAAGAGTGATTTTTTAACACGGTACAGACGGAGCTCATGCGTACGCGCATACACTCACCCTTATAAACACATATGCACACCCTATTCCTATGAGCATCTTCGAAAGACTGAGTCCACATATCATCTTCAGATTTATGAAATCACCGTAGGCGCCTCATTGTCGACGGGATTGTCTCCTTTCACTAATAGCGCATTGCGAAAAAAGAAAAATGAATTGCATAGAACACCGGGAATAGCCAATGGTACACGTACCAACGTGGTTACAAAATTGCTAAGTAACCTTCCTCAATGTACCCCCCCCCCCCCCAAAGAAAATCCTATGCGACCTGGGTCGGAGACCCTCTCCGCCCAAGGACACGTGGTAAAAACGAATCTCAAAGCACATAGGCCCTTTTCTTCTTCTGCTCGCCGTCGTGGCAGTGCCAGCGCCGTCCTTGCCGCCTCGGCTGCTCTCCCTGGCATTCCTCGGCGTCCCGGAAGCCCGCCCTTGAGGCGCTTGTCCGGCTCACTCGACGTGGCCGCAGCCGTCTCTGCCGCCCCGGCTGCTCTCCTCCGTCGTCTACGACCGCCCTCCTCGGCGCCCCAACAGCTTGTCCTGTTCGTTGCATAGCTCCCCACCGGCGCTCTACTCCGTCCACAGCCACCAGCCAGCTCCTCTACTTCGTCGACGTCCTACAGGCTACATGGTGATAGACTAGTGTGACCGTGGGATGGAAGGAACGGGATTATGAAAATGTGCAGAACACAACATCGAACCCGCGATCTCAGGTTACGGATGAAAGAGCGCTACCCACTAAGCTACTGTACATGATGTGAACCAATTGATTCTTCTTCCTTTTATTTATTTTCTTCTGTTCGTGAGCTTTTATAGAGGTTTTAATTCGGTTTTTCTTTTTCTTTTTCCTTCAATGCGCGGATTCTTTTCAAATTCATTAACTTTTTCTTCAAAATCAATGAACCTTTTTCCAAAATACATGAAGTTTTATTCAAATTCATGAACTTTTTGCAAATTTGTGAACATCTTTTCAAAATCTATGAACTTTTCAAAAATTCAATGATTTTTTTTCAAATCCGATGACCTTTTTTGCATATTCAATGAACTTTTTTCTAAATAATTTAACCTTATTTCAAATATGATGATTTTTTAAAAGAATTTAATGAACTTTTTTGCTGCACCTTTTTTATATAATTGAACATTTTTCAAGTTTGAGAACTTTTAAAAATTGATGAACTCTTTTTAAATTTGTGCACTCTTTTTAAACTGATGAACTTTTTTCAAATTCAATGAACTTTTTTTAAGTTTTGTGAACAGTTTTTAAAATCCATGAACAATTTTGATTTCAGGTACTTTTTATGAAAATCGTTGAACTTTTTTCAGAACCACGGACTTTTTTTTCAAAATCAATAAACTCTTTTTCAAATTCCTGATCTTTTTTTATCAAAATCATTGAACTATTTTCAAATCTGTCAACTTTCTTACAAAGTCCTGAGATTTTTTTCGAATTCATAATTATGTTAATTTAAATCAATGAAATGTTTTCTAATATATGAACTTTTTTCAAATTGATGAACTTTATTGATTTTTGTGCATTTTCAAATTCATAATTTTTTCTTCAAATTCATGAACCTTTTCCATTTTCGTGAACTTTCTTTAATTTGTACGAATCTTTTTAATTTTTAAAAAATTCGTGGTATTTGTGAATTCTTCTTCAAATTTATGTCTTCTTTATCAAAATAATTCATAGTGTCTATATAATACTATTATATGTTAATGCTGTGCTGAAAGAAAGGGTCAAATAGAGCTGTTTCCTCATAGTTGTGAACACAATTTAGCTTGGTCTAGTGGTTAACGCATGGCACCGTTGACCTGGGTGTCCTGAGATCGATTCCCTCTTCTCCTGTTTTATTTCCCGCGAGAATCGAATAAGCGAGCTATTTTTGTTTTTTGTCGAGCGATCATGCCAGGAATCGGTTTGTGTTAATTGGGCCGGCCCAAAATGAACTTCACGTGAGCGCCAGTATGCCAAACGGGCGCATAACCCCGATTTGAATTCAGATGGTAGGGCCCGTCCCCTGCTTTCATCCCATCAAAAATTGCCCCCTGAGCCCTTACTTAAATTAAGTAGGAATCCCCATCCCGGGTCCCATTGCATCCGAACTAGGAAAAATAATTTAAGAAATTCAAAAAGAGTAAAAAAAAGTTTAAAACTTTTTGGAATCAAACATGGTCAGGTATGACACTCTTGTGATGAGTTTTGTGAAGGAAAGACTTCGACCAACTCCAGAGCCAAGAAAACAAACTTGAGACTACAAGATGCGTGAATAGTACTCCCTGCGTTTCTAAATATAAGACCTTCTAGAGATTTCAATAGAGACTACATATGGATGTATATAGACGCATTTTAGAATGTAGATTCACTCATTTTGCTCTGTATATATTGTAATCTTTAAAAAAACTTTATATCTAGGAACAGAGGGAGTATCTTTTATGTATTGTCGTTTTCGTTTTTTTTTTTCGTCCAAACTACTAGAGTCATTCCTCAGCAAAACTTTCCACACGAGTTTTACACCAGACCATGTTTGTTAAAAAAATCATAAATTCTTGACACTTTTTTATTTTTCTAAAATTATTTTTTCCTTTCGGGTGCATTGGCCCTCCAAAGATCCGCCTCCATGGAACACCAACTAGTCTTAGATGACATCAACAAATAAATACCGATC